TGAGAATAACCAGGAAAACACATTCCAGGAAGAAACAATGACAAGGCTAAAAGCTCTGCGGTGGCCAGGTGCAGTGGCTCACGTCTGTAATTCCAGCACTTTGGGAGGCTGAGGCGGGCAGATCACCTGAGGTTGGGAGTTCAAGACCAGCCTGACCAACATGGAGCAACTCTGTCTCTACTAAAAATACAAAAATTAGCCAGGTGTGGTGGCACATGTCTGTAATCCCAGCTACTCAGGAGGCTGAGGCAGGAGAATCCCTTGAACCAGAGAGGCAGAGGTGGCAGTGAGCTGAGATCGTACCATTGCACTTGAGCCTGGGCAACAAGAGCAAAACTGTCTTAAAATTTAAAAAAAAAAAAAAAAAAAAGGGAGGGGGGCTCTGCGTCAGGAGCTTCCCTGGCATGTAAAAGGTACATCAAAGGGTCCAGCAGGGCTGGAGTGGAGTAAGGGAAGGAAAGACTGGTGAATATATACAGGGTCCTGTCTGAGACTGTGTATATCCATATCTATCATATCTATAATCTATCTATCTAGAGTTGTGTAAGCACAGAACTGTTCTAATTTTATTTATTTTTATGTTTTCAACTATTATTTTAGATTCTATTGCTATATGTGCAGGTTTATTACAAAGGCATATTACACGATGCTGAGGCCTGGAGCACAACTGAACCCATCACCCAGGAAGTGAGCATAATACTCAATAAATAGTTTTTGAACTCTTGGCTCCCCCTCCTCCCTCTCCCTCTAATATGCTTTCAATTAGAGAGAAACAGGGAGCCAGAGAGTAACTGGGGAGAGTGGAACGCCATGCCCTGACTTGTATTTCCAAAAGTTTGCCAGGGCTGCTGGTTGAGCACAGACTTTGAAGGTGAAAAGAAGCAGGGGTTCAGCTCAGACATTAAAGAATGTGAAGTTGTCACTCACATCATTACAAACAGAAAAAGCTAAACAGACTGAAAATCAATAACTTGTCTTGGAATCATCAGTGAACTGGGGTCGCAGGGCCAACCACCACCGTGAAATCTAGAGGAAGACAAATCCAAAGACACAGCAGAGGAGTGCTTACCTGGAGCAGAAGCTGCTGGAGACAGAAACTGTTAGAAACAATTGACTAGTCACTTTGACAAGTTGCTGGAGGCTAAGCACGAACTACCTTTCGAATCAGAAACTCCTGAGGGTGGCAGTCTTAGGGGACTCGCACACTTTGGGAGGTTTTGCCTCCTGGGACCCCAACAGAGTCTCATTGGGAAGAGCCAAGAAAGATGTTCTCCTGACTGGCAGTAGAAGAATAAACCTTACGAAATATATTACCCAGAGCATTTGTCACGACAAATGTCACTTGCTCCATAAAGGAAAGATCTTAGCCTTGTCCCAGAGCTGTGGGGGAAAGCCATTCCTTTCAATTCAGCCTCTTCTAGCCTTCCTGTCTCAACTGGAGTGGGACACAAGGAAAGATAAGAAACACTTGTGGCCAGGCGCAGTGGCTCATGCCTGTAATCCCAGCACTTTGGGAGGCTAAGGTGGGCAGATCACCTGAGGTCGGAAGTTGGAGACCAACCTGATCAACATGGAGAAACCCTGTCTCTATTAAAAATACAAAAAAAATTTAGCTGGGCATGGTGGTGCATGCCTGTCATTCCAGCTAATTGGGAAATTGAGGCAGGAGAATTGCTTGAACCCGGGAGGCGGAGGTTGCAGTGAGCTGAGACCATGCCATTGCACTCCAGCCTGGGCACCAGAAGCGAAACTCCATCTCAAAAAAAGAGAAAAGAAACATTTGTGAAGATTTCATCATAAAATAACAAAGTATTTTTCCTTCCCCACACCAACAGAGCTGCAGTATAGTAATAGCTGATTACAGCTGAAATAGATGCAAAACAAACTGAGTCCTTGTGAAAGCCCAACAAACACTGGGAGGACCAAAACCAAGGCCACCAGAGGAATGTGACATCTCTGGCACCCATGGCTATGGCAAAATACAGTCCAACTCCTAACCAGATTTACATAAAATCTCACAATAAAACCGATTCACCTCATTTCTTATTACCCAATACATCATGTCTGAGTTGAAACAAAAAAAAGTACAAGACATGCTAAAAGGCAAGAAACACAAGCTGGGAGGTGAGACAAGAGTCTTTTACTAATATTCCAGATAAACGATGGTGGTGGCCTGGGCCATGAGGCCAACAGTGATGTGTAAAAGGTGGTCAAGCTCTGGATGCATTTTTACAGAAAGGGCATAGAGAATCTCCTGATGGAATGGATGTGAGCTGCTGTGAAGGGAAAAGAGGAGGCAGGGATGACTTCAGAATTCTTGGCCAGAGCTGCTAGGAAAATGGAGATTCCATCAACTGAGATGGACTGAGATGGTAAAGCCCACAAGTAAAGCAGTTGACTGGGCCATAGGTGGGTGGTGGGTTTTGGGAATTCAGTGTTTGATGTCTGAAAGAACTTACCGTGGCAGTGGCCAGTTGTACATTTATTTAGCTAATAATATTTTGGGGTGCTGAAATTCTGCAGCACTTCTTAAGTATTAGAACGAACACCTGAAAATGTTGGAAACCCAGGAAATGTTTAATAATTGCTTTACTTAGTGAATGGAAAAATAAAAAAAATGATCGAACATTCTAACTATGTACCAAAATATCTTATTTAGAATCATTAACTGTCAGCAAAAATAGCAGCTAATGCTGGAAATACCTAACAGTTTACAAAATGTTTTCAGGTATTCTGACTGTTACTTATACCCTAGTATCTGAGTATCTGCCCTCTCCTTTTTGCATTGTAATAAACTTTGGCTGGATATGTGGCTTCTCAGAATAAAGATGACATTTCCCAGCTTTCCTAGTAGGTAGGTGTGCCCAGTGGTCTGAGAGCAAGCATGGTGTGTGCAATTTCTGCAGTATGCTCTAAGACTTGTATACCCACCATTTGCCCTTTCTCCCTCTCTTCCTGTCAGCTGAAGTGCTGATGTGATAATGAGCCATCTTGGACCATAAGGACAGGGTGACACCAATGAGATGGCAAGGGAATAAAAGAGAAAGAGCTTGGATACTGAAAATCCATGGCGCCACCTTATCAGCTCTGTGTTTGCACATACTTAGATTAAAAGAAAGAACAAAGCTGCTATCTTACTTAAACCACTGTTGTCTTGGCTTTTCTAATAGTAATTTAGCCTAAAACTTAAAATATGCCATGAATTTTTGTTTTTAACTCTTAACTATATATCTGTTTTAAACAGCAGGAAAATACATTGGCAACCTAGCCTTGTTCTACATCCTTACATCTACTAGTGCAGAAAAACTGGCTGGTAAGTATTCTGCAAAAACTAATTGTAACAATTTTTACAACAAGATTTGGGTCCAGGCATTCAATAAACTACAGTACTTACTACCTAGAAAAAGCCACATGGTAATGATTTTTCACAAAGAATTGAGAAATTACATGCTATACAGTAGCTCAACTTTAAGCTTCCAACTTCCTATTAAAGTCCCTGCAATTTATTAAGCTGGGTAAGTGCCAGCAATTAGTTCCTTAGCTTAAAGAAATGTGTAGTTGTTCACTAAATTCTTGACTTAATTTGTGCTCATCAGACAAGCATGACAAAGTAGCTTTTGGGGTATCTAGATCTTTAGACATATATCTTAATACCTATTAGCAGGCCATTTTCATATTCTGGAACAGTTTTACACCTTCTTTTAATCCAGATATGGAATTGTATTGAAAAGAGTAAAAATATATCAGTTCAAATGCTATATAAGCAAACATAATTTAAAGAGTAAAAATAGGCCAGATGCGGTGGCTCACTCCTGTAATCCCAGCACTTGAGGAGCATGAGGTGGGCAGATCACCTAAGGTTAGGAGTTTGAGACCAGCCTGGCTAACATGGTGAAACCCCATCTCTACTAAAAATACAAAAATTAGCCATGTGTGGTGGTGGATACCTATAATCTTAGCTACTCGGGAGGCTGAGGCAGCAAAATCACTTGAACCCAGGAGGTGCAGGTTGCAGTGAGTCAAGATCATGCCACTGCACTCCAGCCTGGGCGCTACAACAAGACTCCACTCTCAAAAAAAAAAAAAAAAAAAAAAAAAAAGAGAGAGAGAGAATAAAAATGGTTTATAAAAAACAAAACTCTTTATTTACTATGATGTATTTCTGCACTAAAAATTTACATCTATTTTAATTTAATTGTCTTCTAGCTTCCAATACATTTAATTGCCTAAATTAGAGTAACCCATTGTCATAGCTTTTGACTTTTCTCTTTTATTTTAAAGGAAACTACTTTCTACGCTAGCTATCGATTCTGAGATTTGCTCAGATAATTTTCTAAATCAAAAGCAATCATGAATGGTATAATCAAAGCTCTAAATATACAGTGAAAAGTTTATTTTTCTAAGTGACTTAAAAATTCAAGTAAAAACTTGCTAACTGCTTTGCAACATTCAGATAATTTAGCCTCTGCACAGCCAAAGGTGACTCACACCTGAATGTGTACACACTGACATCTAGAGACATAATTTCAGGATTCAGAGGGAGTCACATCTCCACATCTTTTAAAGGTTTCAATGAAAGTCTTGTATTTCCTCAGGCGATGCTTGGAAAACAGAAGAGCTAATGTATACTTACGTGGGATACTGACTTTTATTATATGATACAAGAGCTGTCCCTATCTGTATTTTAAAATTTGAAAACCAAGCCCTTTTCTAAATTCTTGCAACAGTCAATATTGTTACACAACAGGAGCTCTAATTCTTCCAGATAAACATAGTCAGAAACACAGGAAAATATTTTCTTATTCCAAGTAAGAAATATTAGGCATGTCTCTAAATTGGTTATATGTGGTATCTTCTAAAAAACTAAAAAGCATGAAAGATACGAATACTGCATAAAAGAACGTCTTCCTCCTTAATACTGTATTTTAAGACAAGAAGCAAAGATGTAAAGAGGCTGAAAGCATAAACTAACCAGACAAAAGCGTAAAATAAAAGATTACCTTTAGCTGGGTTTACTTTTATCCCTGACCTATACAGCATTTCTTCATTCTGCCAGTCTCCATTCCTGATCACGGTCTTGAGTCCATAAAAAACAATTAGTGTAGCTGTAGCATAAAAAATCAAGCTCTTGAGGAATCGCTTTTGGACTTTGACATAAAGGGCTCTGGCCCCCACTGTAATCAGTAGGCAGAAGCCCATACTAGGAATATATAATACTCGCTCTGCAATTACAAAGCCGACATAGAAAAACAGGTTCGTGGCAGGAACAAAGGGTATGATTAACAAAGATAAAGACAGAACAACAATGTTCTCCGTAGAAGGAAGTTGGGTTCTCTGTGATACATCGTTTTGAATGCCATTTTCTACTTTGGATGCAAAGCTGGGCTTAGTCTCTGAGTTCTGGTACTCCACATCTGAAAGGCAGCTATGTCCATTTGCATTCTGCTTGCCATTTGTTACAGTTTTCCCATTGCACTCTCGGTCTGCGTTCGGGCTCTTCAAACCATAGCAGGCAAGGAGGAGGAGTCCAGTATAGAAGGCCACAGTGTGTAGGTTTCTCCAGTCACAAACTGTTTTGAGCAGAGGCACAGCGTCCATTGACCAATCAAAACTGAGGGTATCTGGGCATAGCAACAGCCAGAGGTTCTTGGTTGGCAAGTAGAAGAAGGTGAGCGTGCGGGTGAGGAGGCTGTCTGAATCAGCAGCGGGGTTGTCCGAGTTGGAAAAGCTTGGTGGTTTGTTTCCCATCCAGTATAACCGGGCACCCAAAAGGGAGGACCCCCAGAAAGTTAACAAACTAATGCTGAGGAAAAGAGACAAGTTCTTCCTCTGAAATCAAAAAAGAGAAGGGAAAAATTAAGATCATTGTCAATACAGCATGGGAACATTTACTATTTAGAGATAAAATATATTTTTAAATGGACAGTTAAAAACATAGCATTATATCTCCAAAAAGAATGACTTAATTATTTCTATCATCATTTTTTTTTTTTTTTTTTTTTGAGACAGAGTCTCACTCTGTCGCCCAGGTTGGAGTACAGTGGGGCAATCTTGGCTCACTGCAACCTCCGCCTGCAGTGTTCAAGCAATTCTCTGCCTCAGCCTCCCAAGTATCTAAGATTACAGGCGGCTGCCACCACTGCCCGAAAATTTTTGTATTTTTAATAGAGACGGGGTTCCACCATCTTGGCTAGGCTGGTCTTGAACTCCTGACCTCATGATTGACCTGCCTTGGCTTCCCAAAGTGCTGGGATTACAAGTGTGAGCCACCACGCCCGGCCTCTATCACCTTTCAAACATGCCTAGAAAAATTTTAATCTCCAAAAAAAACTGAATGTGGAATCGTAGTTTGCATATATTTTTGAACATCTTTTCTTATTTTTCCTCTCTAAAATACCAACAATCAAAGCTTAAATTTCATAATTTCTACAAAGTGGGTTCAATATACTTATTTCCCTCTCAGAATTCGTGTCAGGTCACAATGGGACCACAGCGTAAAGTACTTAGCACTCTGTGTAAGATATAGAAGGCACCTAATAACTACTGTCTTTCATTTTATTGTAGTTTAGATTTTGAAGAAAAACAAAAAGCAGTCATGTCAAAAAATATTTGGAATGGCAGGACTCTGTGCTCGTCTCTAACGGAGTAAAGGCATGCAGCTAAGTCTAAGCCAGTCCCCATGTCATTGTCTTATTCTGTCCTTGCAGAATTTATAAAGCAGGCTTTTATCTGCTGCCCTTTATTGTCACTGACAACAGTGACATCCGACATTCAAAAATACTCCTCATGAATCCCAAATTTTTCATGTTGATGACAGCTTTTAAAAATAAAATTACTTTAGGCCGGGCACAGTGGATCAATCCTGTAATCCCAGCACTTTAGAGGCCAAGGCAGGTGGATCACTTGAAGCCAGGGGTTCAAAACCCCATTTCTACTAAAAATACAAAACAAACAAACAAACAAAAAAACACACACACACACATTGCCGGGCATGGTGGTGTGCACCTGTAGTCTCAGCTACTCAGGAGGTTGAGGCAGGAGAATAGCTTTAACCCAGGTTGCAGTGAGCCAAGATTCTACCACTGCACTCCAGCCTGGGAAACAAAGCAAGACTGTCTCAAATGAAAAATAAAAAAAATAAAATAAAATGTCTTCTTTAATAATGAACTAACTTATTGCAAGAGAATGATAAAAAATTGTGAGAGGAAGACCAAAGGGCAAAGTCCTTTCCAGCAAAGTCCTTCAACACCAGCAAGAACTTAGTTGACATCTAACAATCTAAGTCCTACAGCGGCACAGCAGGGAGGGTTAAAATGGGCACCATATCCCACTAATGGTTCAATGGTAAGGCCGTTCTTTACAGCAGACACACCAGCGTTGTATAGAATTGTCTTAATGACATTTAGAAGGGAATTTAGAATCTTACCAAGCATACATCAAATATTTAGTTTAAAAAAACAACCCACAAAGAGCAATATATCTTAAGTATAAGCAACTTCTTGTAAAACAATGTCTATGTATTGTACACAACTGCCACGCTGGACTCTGCTCCTCAGATTCCTCCTCCACCCCAACCCTGACTGCTGAAAGCCACAGCACTGCTCTTGGATGTTCTTTTCCACTCTACCTTCAACCTAATGATCCTCAACAAGGTTCATGATATTTTTTTTCTTTCTTGAGACAGTCTCTCTCACTCTATCGCCAGGCTGGAGTGCAGTGGGCAATCCCGGCTCACTACAACTTCTGTTTTCTGGTTTCAAGCAGTTCTCCTGCCTCAGCCTCCCGAGTAGCTGGGACTACAGGTGCACACCACCATGCCTGGCTAAGTTTTTGTATTTTTAGTAGAGACGGGGTTTCACCATGTTGGCCAGGATGGTCTCCATCTCTTGACCTCGTGATCCACCTCCCTCTGCCTCCCAAAGTGCTAGGATTACAGGCGTGAGCCACCATAACAAGCTGGCTCATGAATTTATTTATTTTTTATTTATTTTTATTTTTTGCAAGTTGGAAATGTATAATAGTTTACTGTTGTAACTCTTTTATACCATGTGTTGGACAACTTAGCTAATATGTTAATTGATTTATAGGATTCCTTTCAATTTTATCTAAAAATAGCAGGTTCATGAATTTAAATGTCCTTAATGTATGCTAATCACTGTACCTTCATCCTCCCTCACCTCTAGCCAGTTATTCAATTGCTCAAATTCACTTAAGTACCTCGAACTCAAAATGCCCAAAATAGAACTGCTGACTTCATAATTCCCCAAAAGAAATAAAACAGTTCCTCTTCCAATCATCATCACCATCAGCAAACAGTAATACTACGTAACCAGTTTCTTCTTCGCTGCCACTTTCCTTCCTTCCACATGCCACTCATTACCAAGTCTTCACAACTTTCACATCCAAATATATCCTGAATCCGTCTTTTTCTCTCCATCTCTTCTGTCATCGTTAGTCCCAAGTGCCAGCACTGGGATGCCTATACTAATCTCCTCTTAACTGGTGACCCTGTCCTCTTGAACACACATTATTTTATTCCCTAATTTTAAACTCATGAGTGAGTTCTTACTTTTAAGATCTCAGAAGTTTTTATATCTCTAATAAAACAAAAAGTTTGGGCCGGGCGCGGAGGCTCAAGCCTGTAATCCCAGCACTTTGGGAGGCCGAGGCGGGTAGATAACGAGGTCAAGAGATCGAGACCATCCTGGTCAACATGGTGAAACCCCGTCTCTACCAAAAATGCAAAAAATTAGCTGGGCATGGTGGTGCGTGCCTGTAATCCCAGCTACTCAGCAGGCTGAGGCAGGAGAATTGCCTGAACCCAGGAGGCGGAGGTTGAGGTGAGCGGAGATCGTGCCATTGCACTCCAGCCTGGGTAACAAGAGCGAAACTCCATCTCAAAAAAAATAAAAAATAAATAAAAATAAAATTAAAAAATTAAAAAAAATAAAAAAAACAAAAAGTTTGGAATTCATTTAGGGTTCCCTTTCCGCTTTTTGGTGATATGCCTATTTTTACATTTCAAAAGTATTAAAGATTTTTTTAGTCTAGAAGGGGGTAATTGATAAAAGAAGAGAAACAAAAGAATAGGTGGTTAGAAGTTAAAAACTTAAAATAAAGAAAATGAGAAACAGCAACCAGATGGAAATTAGACAATTTTAAGAGGTAGAACTATTCATTAATATCAGATACAGTAATGCCAAATTCACAGCATTAACATCATTGTTTTAAAAATATCCTTGCCAGACATTGGCTTAAGATTAATTCACATAATACTGTATGGAATTTTTAATAGTAGAAGGAATGATATCACATTCTGCCTCAATAATCTAACTTTTAATTGGAAAAATGAAATATTTCAAAGCCTCATTAACATCTAAGAGTAATTTTTGCAAACCATTTCATTGTTCCTCTGAAATTCTACCCAGCAATAATTCTAAAATTTCTTGATTTTAGAAAAGCCAATCCACAAAACCATGCTTAAGAACTTGTAATAACTTGATTCATCAATCATGCAACTGAGTACTCTTAGATTATACACGTGAGAAACACCATTTGGCAAAGATAAATGAGACAAGATATCATGGATAAAGAAGACTGATCTTGAAAGACAACTGAATTCTGAATTTGTACCAAAAGCCCATTTTTAAAGTGTGACTAAGACCATTCTATTACAATATCTTGTGGTGGGAATGACTGGGGAATTGAGGAGGAAGAGAGAGATAGCATTACAGAAACAGCTATAATCAGGCAAGAAGAGACACCAAGGGGCAGGGAAGCCACACGAAGGAGGGAAACATGGTCAGATTTCTTTGCTAGTCATTAAACTCCAGAAGAAGATAGGCTTAACAATGATGTAGGGCGCGGCTGCTCATGCCAGTAATCCTAGCACTTTGGAAGGCTGAGGTGGGTGGATTACCTGAGGTCAGGAGTTTAAGACCAGCCTGGCCAACATGGTAAAACCCTGTCACTACTAAAAATAGAAAAATTTGCTAGGTGTGGTGGCACACGCCTGTAATCCCAGCTACTTCGGAGGCTCAGGCAGGAGAATCCCTTGAACCTGGGAGGCAGAAGTTGCAGTGAGCCAAGATCACGCCACTGCACTCTAGCCTGGGTGTCAGAGCAAGCCTTTGACTGAAACAACAATAACAAAAAACAACATAATTCTATATTATTTCTAAAGACAGAAATGTCATAACAAGGCAAAACTATTCATTTTTCACAAAAGTAACTCTGATAATTTGTTATATCTTAATTATCAAAATAAAACTGAGATTCCTGATGTGGTCATATTGTTGCATTTAGTATGCTAAACGAAAATTTAGATATAATAGAATACAAAGATATGAATAATAACTATTCAATGTTAAATATTTTATGTCTAAGTACTGAGAAAATGAAAATGAGATAAAAACAAGAAAACATGGCTGGGCACATGCCTATAATCCCAGCACTTTGGCAGGCTGAGGCAGACAGATCATGAGGTCAGAAGTTCAAGACCAGCCTGGCCAAATGGTGAAAACCTGTCTCTACTAAAAATACAAAACTTAGCCAGGTATGGTGGTGTGTACCTGTAGTCCCAGCTACTCAGGAGGCTGAGAAAAATAATTGCTTGAACTCAGAAGGCAGAGGTTGCAGTGAGCTGAGATCGTGCCACTGCACTCCAGCCTGGGTGACAGAATGAGACTCTGTCTCACGCAAACAAAAAGAAAACATAAGTAATAAAATGCTAACAAACTGACATAGTCACTAAGATCAGAATATAGTATGGTTCTGAAGTGAAATGCTTTCATATACTTATTCTAATTTAATGTTGAGGTCTGTATAGA